AATGGAAAACAAGAAAGAAAGAAAGAAAGAAAGAAAGAAAGAAAGAAAGAAAGAAAGCAAGAATGGAAAACAAGAAAGAAAGAAAGAAAGAAAGAAAGAAAGAATATGGAGAGAGAAGAAAGAAAAAGAAGAGAGGTAGAAAGGAAAAGAATTTAGAGACAGATAGAAAAGAAAGATGGAAGATAAGGGAAAAAAGGAAACATGCAAAGAGAGAGATGGAAAAGAAAGAAAGATTAACTTTATTAGGGAAAGGTTAAGAAAGAAAGAAAATAAGAAAGAAAGAATGATTAATTTTATTAGGGAAAAATAAAGAAAGAAAGAAAGTATTGTATAAGAGTAAGTGTCATTGGCAACACTGTGGTTTGAAACTAGATTGCCAGTAAGTAACATGGGCGATCCCATTATTAAGTAGATCACATGATCATAAAGGAAGTGAATAAATAGGAAGTAGCATAATGACTATACGGATCACTGTTCACTCTTCTTGTCTATCCACTATTGCTAAATGTTCACTCTCTCTACTCTACTACTATACGGATTATGATTCTCTTCTGATCATTATATTATTTGACGATTACTACTTGAATAAGTATTACTAGTGCGGATATTATTGGAAGGCGTTACTACTAGTATCGGCTTCTACGAAGTCTCGAATATAATGAGCATTTTTGGAAGTGATAACAAGCTTCCTCTTGACATAGCAACAAGTGACAAGCGAAGCTGTCCAACATCACAAAAGAAAGAAAAAAGAAAGAAAGAAGTGAAGGAATGGAAAACAGGAAATGAAGGGAGAAATAGTGAAATAGTGAAAAGAAAGAAAGAAAGAAAGAAAGAAAGAAAGAAAGAAAGAAAGGATATGGGGAGACAAGAAAGAAAAAGAAGAAAGGTAGAAAGGAAAGAATTTGGAGACGAATAGAAGAGAAAGATGGAAAAAAAGAAAAAAGGAAACATGGAGAGAGAGATGGAAAAAAAATGGAAGAAAGCAAGAAAAAACAATGATTATTGAAAGAAAGAAAGAAAGAAAGAAAGAAAGAAAGAAAGAAAAGTGAAGGGAATGGAAGAAAGAAAGAAAGAAAGAAAGAAAGAAAGAAAGAAAAAAAGAAAGAAAAGTGAAGGGAATGGAAGAAAGAAAGAAAGAAAGAAAGAAAATAGTGAAGGAAATGAAAGATGTTATAGATTCAAGTATAAATATGTGGTTTATGGATAGATAATTATTGGTTGTTCATATATCAGTCTAAGTATTTACTTGATTCAGGGATAGGTAAATATTGTTTATATTTGAGAAAATATGCAATATTTTGGTTTTGAGAATAGACAAACTGTGGTGATGAATGAGAAAACCAAGTCTTACCTTGAAAAATAACTTGTGCAGTTTGTCAAAAAAGAAAATCAGAATCAAGATCGAGTCAACTTTAGTAGGCCTTGAAATATGGTAATTGTTTGCACTTCTCTACCTTTCTTACTCAAATAAAAAAACACTACTTTGGATAACTGAAGAGACACTCAAATCTTTGAGACTAAGTTTTCTCATATCATCTCTCAGTTGCATCTCTGTCTTTGGACAGAGTGAAATTCATTGTGTTTCAACTAAAAAAAAAAATTGTGAGGTACCTGGTCTTAAGGAACAGCTGCCCATGCTAAAAAGGTGGGATCAGTAGTAATATCAATGCCATTGCAACAGATAGTTGTGGGGTCTGGGCAATTTTGGGTCCAGGTGAACACACTCTGTACCCCGCATCAAACTGACTTTCTGTCATATCTTGCCACTATGGAGTGGTGAGTCAATATCAAACACTTTACTATTTGTCGGTAAAGAAGGTTGTTATGCATTGGGAGTTGCAGATGTGCATTTTCAATTATTTGATTTATATTCACAACATTTTTTGCAGTTGGACTTGCAAGACTGATTCATGACATGTGGAAATATGGCCATGCACTCGTGATTTTTGGACCTGTACCTCCCTATTGTGATCTTCCACACAAACATTGCATATTTATAGATGAGTCTAGAAGCATTTTCTTGGTTCAAAGATAAGCGAATATTGGCCATTTATATCTGAATGTATAAGTTCAATTTGGGTCTAATAAAAGTCATTTTCTGACTAAGCAAATTCATAAAATAGCAAATTTCAAAATGGAATAGTCAAATTCAAAATAGGATATAGCAAATTCCAAATGGGATAGTCAAATTCAAAATGGGACTAAACAGATTCAAAATGAAATAGTCAAATTCAAAATGGAATAAGCAAATTTGATTTGGGACTTAGCAAGTTCAAAATGGATTAGGCAAATACAATTTGGGACTGAGCTAAAAAAAGACTTTAAAATTAAATATTTTCATGATAAAATAATAAAAAACTAAACTTTACTATTGAAATGTTTTATCTTCTAGGAGCAATCAATAAAGCAAGAAAATTCATGAAAGATGTGTTTCCTGTCTCTGGGCATTCAATAAAGTGCTTGCAAATTTGTGTCTTTTTTATTTATTTCCCCCAGAATTCCCTCATTCTGGCTCATACCTGATATCTTTCAATGTATATAAAAACACATCAAGGTGCAATCTTATGGCCTCTATGGAAGCGGTTACATTAAATCTTTCAAACAAGACTTTTTTTCAAATCCAACAAGGTAAATCAGCAATTAGCTTCAATTTCTTCCACAAAGTAATCTCAATGTACTGGTAGAATTTTTTTATATTGTCCATCACCTCTCCTATCCAACTTCTCTCTTTCCAAAGTCCATCTATAAGCAGTAGATTTAGGGACTCCAAGATGTTCTGCCAACACTCTTCACTGTAAATCTGAATTAAATGCTACTAATATCTGATTTCTTTTCATTTCAGACTCATTCTTCATTAGATGTTTTCTACATGATGACATTGTAATAATAGTAGGCCATGTATCACTGCTGTTTATCTATTAAAAAAGTCAATTCCCACTCACTATTTATGAAAAAAGATAAATTGTTCCAATTTGAACTAGCCTAATCCATAATGAATGTGCTTAGTCCCAATTCAAACTTGCTAATTTCATTTAGAATTTGCTATGTCCCATTCTGAAATTGGCTATTTCATTTTGAATTTGCTACATCCCATTCAGAATATGGCTACTTCATTTTGAATTTGCTACGTCCCATTCAGAATATGGCTACTTCATTTTGAATTTGCTGCATTCCATTCTGAACTTGGCTATTTCATTTTGAATTTACTACATCCCATTCTGAACTTGGCTATTTCGTTATGAACTTGCTTAATCCCAAAATGAATTTCATTAGTCCCAAATTGAACTTGAAATGGTATAGATTCATGGACAGCTAAATATTGGTCATTTATATTTGAACCTATAAATATTTACTTGGTTCATGGGCAGGTAAACAGTGGTCATTTATCTTTGAACCTATCAGAATTTACTCGGATCAGGAACAGGTAAATATTGTTCATTTATATTTGAATCTGTAAGCATTTATTGGTTCATAGGGTAGGGGAGTTATAACCCTGAATAAATAATTATAAACTTCCTAACATTTATATATACAAAAATACTTTTAAAAATGAGAAAGAAGAACATAGAAACAACAAAACAAGTATTATTTATTATCTGGTTGTTATGTAGTGTTCGGAAAATGAGAGACAGTCATACTGAGTAAAATTTTGAGTTTGGGGTCAAATGTAGATCAACTATGGATTGGAATCTGACAGAAGGATAAGATAAAAAATAAGCAAAGTGTACACAGTCTTTCTCATATGTTTTTTTTATAGATGTGTGTAATGTCCAAATAATGATGGGGTTTTCTTACCTCAAATTTTTGTTGAGTGCTAAGAGATAAATTTTATTATTATGGCTTGATATATATATATATATATATATATATATATATATATATATATATATATATATATATATATATATATATATCAAATGTCATTAATAAGGCAATAAAGATGAGAACAAGGGTTAGGGTTAGGTAAATACTGTAAATAGTTAAATACCACATCTCAGAAACATAGACAGATATAAACATACTATTGCCAAACGTCATAAATAAATATATATATTTAAAAACATTGAAATTTCACACACACACACATATGCACACACACATATATATATACATATATATATATATATATATATATATATATATATATATATAGGAAATTTCAAAGATTTTATTTTACTAAGAAATTAATTAGGAAATTAATTTACAGGTAAAAACATTTTTTGTATATTGTATTTTTCTTAATGGATAAGTTGGTTGCATTTTAATAAAATTAAAAATGAATTATTTATAATTATTGCCACTTTTCTGTAAAAAAAATAAACATATTTATAATATTATTTTATTTTTTTATTTCAATTTCAAGAGACAAAATTGTGAACACAGATAAATATATATATAGGAAATTTCAAAGATTTTATTATTTTACTAAGAAATTAATTAGGAAATTAATTTACAGGTAAAAACATTTTTTTGTATATTGTATTTTTCTTAATGGATAAGTTTGTTGCATTTTAATAAAATTAAAAATGAATTATTTATAATTATTGCCACTTTTCTGTAAAAAAAAATAAACATATTTATTATTTTATTTTTTATTTCAATTTCAAGAGACAAAATTGTGAACACAGATAAATATCACAATAACGAATGTAGGCTGCCAAATGTTTATATATTGAAGCATTATTTATTATTACAGTTTGATGGCTTAAATTTATATTTTTATTATTTAGATATTGGGGAAAGGTAAAACAAACGCAAATTTGAAGAAATAAATGCTAATACAAATAACCAAGCAGAAAAGCCTTGAGAAAAAAAGCTGCTGATGCTGCTGATGCTGGTTTTATGTACTTTTTTTTTCGCCCCTCTTCCTTCTATAGTGAATCAAGTCGCACTGCGCAGCCGCTGTTTGTAGTTTCACTACACAGGAGAGTTCCGGTACCGTGAAAAATTTTTTCTTTAATGGCAGGGAATGGAGTGGCCAAGGTACAACAAACAACTTTATGACGTCTGGGTTCCCTAAGTGTGCCTTGGCATCCTTCCTACCCGATCATCACCACTGCCCAGACCGTCTGCTATGTGTTGCAACGCATTTTACTGGCATAGTCAAATCACTTGAATCGACGTGTGGTGGCAGGTAGGGCCTAAAAACTGATACCTCTTCTTCTTTTAACGTTCGATTTCAACAAATGGAGAAATGAAAATCTTCCACCCCACCTCGCGTTTTTTTTTTTTAAATTTCTGGTTTCGTTTTCTTTTCATCCTGTATATATGTTTTTGTTCCTCTTTGGTGTATCTGTCATTAAATGATATAATTCTTTGCTTTTGATATCAGCTAACAAACAATAAGCATTTTCTGACCTCCTCTGTCCTGTTTTGGTGTACTAATTTTCTTCTTATTTTTATGTAATAATAATAAATTGCATATCTTCAGTGGTCTGTGCTTCTCTTCTCCTCCGTCTGATGGTTAGTTAGACTAAAAGCGAACTGCTTTATATATTTTATATATATAATATATGGGATAACGATATATAATAACTAATATTTGACCTCCCTCTTTTTCTTAATCATCTGTCCTGTTTTCCCCCCCCTCAATACGACGCATTGGTTGATCTCTTCGTCTTCTTGTATATATGTCGTATGTCTCTCACTATCAAACGACTGTGTTGCATGAAGAAATAACAAAATATTGCTTATATTTTTTATTTCTTTTAAAATTCGTCCTGGAATTATACCTATATTTATATGCAACAATAACACTGGTTGATCGTTATCTAATTCCCCCCACACTCAACAAGACAACTGTGTGTGTATGTGTGTTCTCTTCGTTAATGTTTACCGTTTTTCCAGACTTGAGATCATTTTTCCATTGCTACTGTGTAAAATTAATGGCAAATATCTTAGAACGAAAAACGAATTGATCACACGTTATTTAAAAATAATTACCATTCTATTCTGACCTCCTCTATCTTTTATGTACATTTTTTTAAATTTAAATCCAGTATCAGCGTACCATTTAATTTTTTTCATAAATATTTGTTGTGTCGTGTGTATAATAATATTATTTTGGTGTTTTTTTTTATTTATTTATTTTATTTTGTAGAGACCATCCGTTGATTGATTGGAAGTTTGTAATAAAGAGCATTATTGAACTGTTTACGGTAGTTGATTTTATGAGAAAATTTGTTTTTGTTTTTTTAGTTTGTTTCTCTACTGTTCAAGATTAAAAACCTAAACATTCAATATCACAGAAAATTATTTAAATCCAATTCCTGTAAATTTATTTTTTTTAAGTATAATCTTTTAAAAACCGTCTTTTTGCTGTCAAATTGTAGTAAAAATTTAGTACAGATTTGAGAATTTTATTTTTATTTTTTATTTTATTTTTGTCAAATATTTGAACTTTGAATTGATAGATGACACCAAAAAATTAGCTTTTTTTTTTTTTTTGTTTTTTTTCTTTTAATAATTTACTTTAATAAAACCTTGTTTATTAGTATTTTTAGCTCTGTTTAAAATTATTTTGTAATCTATGTTCTTTGTGATCTTTCCCTAGAAGCATTTGAATAAACTGAAAATCTTTCTCTAGAGTCATTGAATAAACTGACACTGGTTGAACTTGTGTAAGGAAGGAAACAACCATACAATCAAACGTGGTTCGTATATTTCTATAAGGAAAGGAATTACTATTTAAAGTAATGGCTCATCTAGTTTTATGTACCATGTACTTACAAGATATTAGCGATCGTGGCACTTCACAATTTCCTATATTGTATAACTTGTGGGAATGGAAAGTATGCCTTCTGGCACATTTGTCCTGCAAATAATTTTTGATAGACACTTGTGAGTCTGTGTTAAAAAAAAAAAAAAGCCTTAACCTAGAATTCAAACTACAATGAATGTATTAACAAGATATGTTACAGAGAGGTAAAGAAAAAAAAACAAAATTGAAGTTATGAACAGTTCAATACAATGTTCAGTCTGTGTGTGTGTCTCAAGTACTTACATACCTCATGTCTATCAGTGCGAAAGGAAATGTGTTGCTGCTCCAAAAGTCAAAAGGAAAACAAAGGAAACCCTATAAAATATTGCACTGCCTATGATTATCATCAGGGGCCAGTAATCCAGCAAGTTTTTAGTAAATTTTGTCTTTTTGTTATCTCTCCTAAGCCCTGTTCTGCTGTCCATTTAACACAAGCTTGTTAGGTAGGTTATATTCAGTTTTTTTTTTGTTTGTCCCTCATCTCTTCAATCTGTCTTGTGAGTGTTAAATTTTCCAAGCCCTCTTTCCTCATGTGCCCTAGAAATTTCAACTGTCTCTTTTTGATGCTACAAATAGGTGCCCTTTTTGTTTTAATTTTCCCTAAAACCTTGTTGTTGTTCGCATGTGTGGTCCATGGTATTCTCAGGGTCCATCTGTAGAATCACATCTCTGTTGCTTCGTCTCTTCTTCATCTGTGAGGAGATTATCCAGCATTTGCTGCCATGTAGGAGTACCAATATTACATAGCAGTTCAGCACTCTTTTCTTTGTTTGTAACAACATTTTCCTATCCCTTAAATACTTTGCTTAGTTTATGATAGGCATGAAGAGATTGTCCGGCATTCACTGCCATATAGGAGATTAGATATTACATAGCAGTGCAGCACATTTTTCTAAAATGTTTTTCTCATCTCTTAATACTTTGCTTAGTTTATGAAAGGCATGAGAAGATTGTCCAGCATTCACTGCCATATAGGAGGTTAGATATTACATAGCATTTCAGCACTCTTCTTTGTTTCTAAAGACATTTTCTTATCTCTTAATACTTTGCTTAGTTTATGAAAGACATGTTGATATTGTTCAGTATTCACTGCCATACAGGAGGACTGATATTACTCTTGTGTTGTTTTTTTAACAATACTTTTCTGTTTCTTAATATTTTGCTTAGCTTTTCGAAGGCATTTTGATGTTGCACTTTCTATCCTCTTACATTGTTAACATTGTCAACAGTAATGAATTCTGGTACAACTTCTAATTCTCAAAATCACCTCACTGTATAGGTTGAATAAGTCTGGTAATAAGACACAACCTTGTCTTATGTCCCCCTTTCTATTTTTGTTTAATTACTGAATTCATTTTCTATCCATGTGCAGGTGGTTTACTCCCAGTATTGATTCGGAATTATTCTAATATCCTTCCCAAATATGTCAAGTCAGTGTTAAATGAAAAGACATTTATTGAGACTGTCACAAATGATGCTATTGTGTGAAAATATTTCTCTTTTAGTAAATTGTCTTAAATTTTATAGAGATTTTTTTTTATTCATTTCTGATTCCCTTATGGCACTCATTAATGGATCTGTGGGTTGTGAAGTAATTTACAACCATAATATATTTCTTCCTTCAGCATGGCTGGTGCTAGCCTCCAGGAGAGTGACTTGATGCACCTTCTTGAGCTAACGTTTTCCACTGACATGAAGTGTAAATATTATATCAAATCAATTGCTAAGTCTGCTGCAAGGAAGACTGGTCCACTGTGTTGAGTGCAACAATTTTTCTCACCAAGATCTATCTTGCATATCTACGTCTATCCTTTGTCCATGATTTGAATATTGCTGTCAGATATAGTCTGGTGCTGCTGCTGCTATATATATTTAGAGATCCCATGAATCTGCAATCTTATTGGTCCTGACCTGGCATCTCAACTTCAGTCACTTTCAACTGCCATAATGTAGCTTCCATAAATACTTTCATGATGAACTATATCTTTTCCATAAATACTTTCTTGATGAACTTTCCTCTATGGTACCTAGACTTTATGAATTAAAATGCAGTACTAGATTAGTGGCAAAGACTCATCATTTTATAGTTGAAGTGGCTGAATGTATCCATAAGTTCTATGCTAACAGTTTCTTCTCTGGCACTTGTCGCTTGTGGAACTCTTATCCAATTTCTTGTTTCCCAGTCAACTTTGATTTTTGAAAATTTAAATGTAATGTCAATGGTTATCTTCTTGGTTCACTGTGTCATGCTAGACAATTTTTCTCACTAGAATCTGTCTTACATATTTATAAGTCTACAATTCACCCTTGCTTTGAATATTGTTGCCGCATCTGGTTTGGTGCTCCTGCTATATATTTAGAGATTCTTGATAAAAAAAACCAAAGAAGTATCATAATGTTGTTGTCTTGACCTGTCATCTCAGCTTGAGTCACTTTCCCACCACTGTTACATAGCTTCCCTGTGCCTTTTCTATAAATATTTTCATGGTAATTGTTCTGCTGAACTTTCTTTTATGGGACCTAGACTTTATGAATTTAAGCACAGTACAAGATTGGGGCAAGGTCTCATATTTTAGTTGAAATGGCTTAATGTAACCGTAAGTTCTATACTAACAGTTTCTTCTCTGACACTTGCCACTTATGAAACTCACTTCTGGCTTCTTGCTTCTGAATCAAATTTGATCTTCAAAAATTTAAATGCAATGTCAATCATTATCTTCTGTCCTCTTCAATTCTGTTCTTTTGTTCTCACTCCTTAGTGTTTTTCTCATATACTTTCCCACTCAGTAACCCCCTGCATGCTGGTAGTTCTCTTGCCGTGCTTGTGGTGAAATAATTAAAAAAAAATTGAAGGATTTATCACACATATTAATGTGTAGCTTTTATGCTTTAAAGAAAGTTTTTCTTAGTAAAAAAAATATTTCTTATTGCTCTAAACATTATATTTGGTAGGTACCAGTGAAATTAATGCCTACCAGTCTAGAGATAGAAAGTCTTAATAAAAAAAATACCTCTCCCAACAGGAATCTAACCTGTACTCTCTTTTTAATCTAGGAAACTGCTTTCAAGACAAGTCTACCTTATGATTAAACTATTATGAGAATACAGTTTAGATTCTTGAAAAGACTTTCAATCTATAGGCCAGTAGACATTAATTTCACTCTTAATTTCTGCGATGAGTTATTTACATTCAGATTACTGTCCTCATCTTTGTTGTTGTTATCACATTTTGGTCGTTGTGTCTTCTGGCCTTCATCCAACATTAGTGTAGTGCAGTGTTTCTCAATCTATTTAAGCAGTGACACATCAAGGGGAGCAAATGAAAATATCACAACACACGTAACAAAATTTTTAAAGGGTATATATTTAAATGC